CCCCCCCCCCCCCCCCCCCCCGCCCCATCGAAATCAACGACGGCACCGTGAGCACAGGCCGTGCAGTCGGGGCTACCGCTAGACGAGCTGTCGTCGAGAAGGACGGACTACGCCACGGGAGGGAAGCTGGGACCACTGTTCGGTCGCAAGGGCAAGGTCTCCGTTAAAGGAAGCCATCACAGTCTCAAGGTTAGTCTTAGTAGGAAGCCATCACAGTCTCAAGGTTAGTCATCACAGTAGGTGCATAGCCCACCATTTTCCCCCCGCCCGTCTAGCTGTTCTCTTTCTCTTTTCTCTCTCTCTCTGTCTCTGTCTCTGTTCTGTTTCTGTCTGTCTGTCTGTCTGTCTGTCTGTCTGTCTGTCTCTCCCTCTCTCCCTATTTCTCTCCCTCCAGCCCTGTCTCTCCGCTATCCGCCTCCGCCTCAACCCCCCCCCTCTTCTCTCTGGGTATCCCATCTCTTTTGAATATCTTACGTTTTTTTTCTTGCCTCCTTTCTTGGCCACTCCTATTTACCCGCTAATGGCCCTCAGCCATCTCCTTCATCGTCGTCGCCTCTGCTGGTTGTTATTGTTCTGAATTTCAACCACCCCCCTCGTGGCTACATTCACCCTGGCGCGCCCCCCTGTAAAGGCGGTCATGAACACCCGCGCAAGAGGCCAGGTCAACGAGAGAGGTGAAAGAATCGGTGCGCCGCGCAAGGGGGAGAAACGCGAGCTAGCGGCCACGGGCGGAAGGGGAAGGGGGGGGGGCAGAGGGGCGGCGGGAGGTCGGCAAAGAGGAGAACCGGCCGGGGGGGTGGGGGCAGGAGCGGGGGTACCGGCCGCGCGCGGAAGTATAACTAGTCAATTTTTGCGCATTCGGTTATCTGGAACGGAGCGGGGGGGGGGCACGGGGTTTGGCGTGGGACTTCGCCCTGTTTGGTTGCGCGGGACGTTTCGAGGAAGACGATGGATTTGTCGTCCGTTTTTTTGTTTTAACCCCCGGACTTTGTTCGGTGGCGACTGCGGCAGCGGCAGCGGCGGGCGGAGAGGGCGGGGGCTCAATAGTGTTTGGTATGTCTGTTCCGTGTTCTTTTTTTCGTGTGGTGATGGGTGTATCCGTTGTGTCTTGTCCCTCGTGAGGGGGGGCTGGGGGCTGGGAGCTATGTGTGGTGGTAATATATCACGCTATGTAGGTAAGTGCCCATGTTATTCTCGAGTTCGTCCGTTGCGCGAACACTCCCTCCCGTGCATGCGTGCATGCATGTGAGGTTCGTACGTTCTCGCGATGGTGACATCTAAGACATGACACGCGTATATACGTACTGTTGATGTAGGACTGACGTGTTTTCATTGGTCAGGAGGGTTCGTGTAGCCGATGGTATCTCAAGAAACACACCCAACGGCCGTGCTGCGAGAGGATGCCCGAGGAAGACAGAACGTGACAAGCGTTGCATCTTGGGTGACATATAAAACATGACACGAACGCCACACATGGGTTGTTAGGCGAATATCTCTTTCATTGGTGAGGAGGTTCTTGCGGGTCGATGTCAGAGTTTTCTCGCAAGAAACACACACACCCGCCATACACCCAGCAGCAGCAGCAGTGTTGCGAGAAGTCTACCGAGGGAGAAGGAAAGTGACAAAAATGTTGCGCCGCTCCTTCCCCTTTGTTCCTCCGCCCCATCCACCTGCCGCCCGAGAAGGCTCGCAAATGGCACCGACAAACGCGAACAATGCGTCGGAGGAACTTTTCAGAAAAGAACCTGTTACCCGCAGGGGAGATGTCCCTATATGCTGTCTGGGAAACCGTAGACATACAGGTACTTTCTGACGCTATGAATTCATTGCTAATCTGTCTCAGACTCTTTTCTACCAGGTATGATAGACATGGATTTGTTGTGTCATATTAAAAAAAAAAAAATGATAATGGCTCCACTGCTGCTGTGCACCATGAGCGGCCGATTCAACCTCTCTGGCTTGGTGTTGTATGCGATCAACCGAACGAACATTTGACTGACCGTCCAGGCTGTGCGACGATACAGATCGTACCAGATTTTGCCTCCCTTGACGAAACACGACAAACATAAAGCACTGCTGTCAATAGTACATACAGCAGAAGCAGCAGCAGCAGTAGCAGCGGTGACCGTAGAAGCAGCATTAGAGTGGCTTGATGCTCTCGGCGAGTTTCATCCGGTCAGCCTAAATCCCACCACAAAATAGGACTCGCCAGCAATTAAGAAGCTGGAAGAAGGTCTTCAGGCAAAACAAAGAGACCTTGACGATAAGAAGTGGTGATCAGTCGGCAAGAAGAATCCTGCACTGAAACCTACTTCCAAGTATAGACTACCCTGTATACTAGATTTTATGTTATGATAATACCCCACAAAGGAAACAAGCAACAAACCTTGGGTAAGATAAGGTGGTTCTTGAGTGCTGGCGCGGGCTGGCACAACTGCTGTATAGCAGTCATCCTTTTTCGTCCCGTTTACCGTAGGTAGCGTAAGATATCACACCCCCTGGACCGATTTCGACTTCTCGGTAGGAGAAGCAATGATGGTGCCGAAAATGGCGGCGTTGCGAACCGCCTCGTCGAAAGCTTCCCGAAAACATGTCCTTCGATTTCAGCGTCCTCTTCGTCGCGGAGTAATCGAGCTTTGAAAATCGGGCCTGGGGGGGGTGATATCTTACGCAACCTACGGTGTTCTTGGCCCGTTCCTTGCATGCACCTTTCGGTACAACTCTAGACGGGGGTCGGCAGCGGGGGTCAACACGGGGACTTGCGTTATGTTTTTCTGTCTCAATCGGTCCTATGTCAACCCGGAGAGAGAGAGAGAGAGAGAGAAGAGTGGTTGGAGCAATCCTTTCCCCCCTCCCGACACGTAGGTCGCGTTGTCTGGCTTAGGTTCTCGCTCCAAGAACAAGCGCTTTCCAAGCATCGTGTTGGCCTGGGGGCTGGGTGTCTCCGGACCTCGAGCATCATCCCATCCATCCACCTATTTTCTGTCCATCTGTAGTCCGTGGGGGCCTACGATTGATTTGACCATCATACAAGTATTATTATTTATTGTACATATGCAAACCATCAGTCGTACCTGGTCTCCTTTTCGTTTTCACCGGAAAGAATATAGATAGATAGGAACATGGAGAAAGAAGAGAACAGAACAAACGACAAGAAACTCTCATGAGAACGACTAGAATATAACAGCAACAAGAGCAACAAGAGCAACAACAACAAACCAGCAGCAGCAGCAGCAACAGTAACAACAACGATATATTGTAGTACAAACAGGATTTTTCTACCCGACACGACTTGAAAGCGATCCCAACCATCCCAACCTCTCGTCTCGTTCAGCATACACCGAAATCAAGGTGGAGCAAAAACAAGAGAGATAGGGATTGTTCTCTTAGTTTTCTCTTATTTACCAACGGCGCGGATTCGGACTCTCCCCCTCCCCCCCCCCCCATTTTCCGCGCACACGCACGCGGGCTCGGTGCCCCTCTCCCACGGGGGGTACCTATCAATCATCCAATCGGGGGTGTTCGTCGTCTGCTTTGTTTTTACTTTTTTTATCCGAGGTGCGGAAAAAAAAAAAAAGCGGC